TCCTATGTGCTGGCTGCTAGCTTTGAGTGCCCTCTGCTAGCAGTGCCTAGCGGTGCATGCTCCTATGCATGGCTGGCCTATGCACTGCTCACTACTGCTGTTTTTAGAGCAGGAAGGTAGGGAAGGCTTTGAGGCATTCACTGGAACCAGCGAGCAGAATGCTCCAGGAACCTCATGGCTGGATGTGAACCAGGTCCTGAGCTTGCTGTCAGAGACCCCAGCCCAGTTCCCATCAGGTGATAGATCTGGGCTGGGGAGTCACCACAGCCTGCTGACAGGCCATGAATCTTCCTCTGGGCACCTTTCTCCTTTAGGTTCTTCAGTTATGTCAAGCGGACTCAACTAAGTTGCCCAGTGGTATCGTGGGGAGCATTTAACAAGCCCCTGGCTCTACGTGGGGTCTGCCCAGGTTGTATTAAATTGTTCTTTGGAGCCAGCTCTAGAGGCAATATTCATTTTCCCCCTCAGCCTCTGCGGCTGAGAGAGGTTGGGCCCTTCTCTCTTCAAGGCCTGAGGCAGCAGCGTTTAGAGTCCTTTTGCAGTGATCCAGCGCAGATGCCCAGCACGGACTTCATCTCATGTCTCCCCAGGTTCCTGAGTGCACTGGCAGTGCTGGCAGAGCGCCCCGAGCTGGTGGAGAGGGTCATGATCACACGGACACTGTGCCCAGAGGGGGCCTACCAGGTGCGACTCTGCAAGGATGGCACATGGACCACAGTGCTGGTGGATGACATGCTGCCATGTGATGAGTGTGGCTACCTCCTCTTCTCCCAGGTCAGTCCCTGCTCTGATATGAAAGCCCTTGGCCACTGAGCTAGTTGCTATAGGGAGCAGAGGGCTTAAATAGTCCCCTGACTCCATGGGGCTGGAGAGGGCAGTGGAGCTCATAGGAACAGAGGGTGGTAACACAGCAGGAAGATCAGGCTAATTTCAAGCAGCCCACTCATAGTTGTGGGGCTGGGGGACTGACCTTAGTCCATCCTATGGGATAAGTTAGCAGGGAGCTGCCCCAGGTCTAGAGCCTGATCTTCAGCTGTGCTACTGACACAGGTGACTGGTGGTGGGAGCAGGGAGGGGGCATGTGCCCCCCCCCCCCGAGATTGGCCCCCAACTTGGCACCACTCAAGACGGAGCAGTTTTTTTGCTGTGTGGGCTGGCAGTGTGTTGGTGGAGGGCACTAAGCCTCAGCACAGAAGTATAGGAGCTTTTGGTCCGCCCCTGGGCCTGCCCACAAATTGTGCCCCCCCATACACAGGAGGCACCAGTCACCCCTGGCTACTGAGATGCATTTTGCCCCCACCCTGAAAATGGTGCCTGCTTTAGGGCTGGAAAGCAGGCTCCATTGCAGAGCCCCTTGAGTGTCATGTACCTTGAATTTTCTGGAACTGGAGCTGGAAGTTTCCTTACTGCATTCTCTGCTTAAAGGCTATTTGGGTTTTGAGCCATTTTTGTGTTGCGATGAGCGTGAGGGGTGAGACAGTGTTTTATCCCCCACTTTTGCCAGGGCTCCCTGCAGACAGGGGCTGAGGTTTGATGGGAGGCAGAAGCACGGTTCTTGTTGACGCCTGCTGTCTGCCTGCTTCAAGTGGGACGTCAGAAGTGCTCTGAGCCACAGTTTAGTCACTTCTGAGCATGCTCAGTTGAGGTCAGCGGGAAATGTAGTGATTTCAAGAAGTCTTTGGGACATCAGTACACTTTGTCCCTGCCCAGCCTGACAGGCTCAGAGGCTGCTGCTGGGAGCATTTGCAGAGACACAGTTAAAAACACCTTTATTGAAAGACAGACAGCGCAATTCTCCAGGCAAACTGAACGGCCTCAGTATTGGAGATGGAAGTGAATTTGGGGATGCAAAGAGGCATCCTGGCTCTTTGCAGGCTGTGTACTGTAGGATTTGGCTGTGTGCTGTAATCCTGAACATTTGTTTTAAACGGCACAAAAATGAAAGGCTTGATTTCTGCAGACTTGCCTTGAAACTCAGATCATGTGCAGAGAGCTGTGTAGGAAAAATGCTGATGCAGTTTTAAGGGTGTAGCCTTCAAGGTAACCTGCAAATGGCAGTCATGGGTGTATGCATAGGAAAAGGATGATGAGAGCCTTATTTATGTATTTACTATCAAAATAAGATTTTTTTTTTAATGGACTTCTTTCTGTCACAAAAATGTCAAGTCTGCCTTTTCTGCTTTTGCTGGAGGTGTTGTTGCAAGTCTTGCATGTAGACTGAGCTTTGTCTGCCTTTGGCTGAAGATATGTAGTGTCACATTTTTAGGAAAAAGAATTTTTTCCTGAATGTCTCTTAAGCATTTGAGTTATAAGTGTTATTCAACAAGAACAAAAAGCCAAAATGTTAAAGTAGTATCACCTCAGGGCGCACTTGCATGGATTTTCAAAAAGAAATAAATAGAAGTTTGGCCCATAGACTCAAGAAGTCTATGGGCCAATGAGAGGCAAAGCGCTGCTCGACCTGGTACTGGCTACTGGGGATGACCTAGTCGGTGACCTAGTGATCGATGGGAAGCTGGGTGACAGCAACCACGAGCTGATCACCTTCACCATCTGCCGAAAAGCTGGCAAGTCGGTCAGCAA